TTTATGGCTCGGAAATTCGGCGAGGGATTTTTTGGGGGTTAAATTTTGGTCCAAATATTTTTTGGGGTTTTGATTTTTTCCCCCATTTGATCATCCCTGTCACCTAAAATCCCCCCGCCCCCGAGCTAAAGATCCGTCCACACGAATCCGGGTCAAAAGATATGCAGTTTCAAAAATCTCCAAATTCGTGTGGACGGGGCCTGTATTTGAAAGTCGATGAGAATCAGTTATTCCAAAGAGACAGGAAAATCATGGAACCTGTACACAGTACCTTGGACGGGCATCTTGACATCTTTCTTGACAGATAGACTCTCACCAGAATGGATAATATCTGTGGCAAAGAATAGACACCGAGTGTTGAGAAAACCCAGCTCGTACCCAGACCAAGGCAATTCCTTTAATTCTGGTAATGTTACTCCATCAGAACTTCTGAAGACGGTGATTTTAATTGTTCAACATCGCTTATTTTAATGATACTCACCTAAAATCGAGCTTGGGCGTATTCTTTCTAGATCCTTTAGATAAGTCCGTGCGTGACCCCTGTTGAAATAGAATTGTGAGGTTTCGTGAATACAAAAAAACCTCGGCCTCCTAAGAACCTAAAGAAGAGTGGGCAAATGTGTTTTAAGTACTTTTTTCTAGAGGCTATCCGTAACTCCATGATACTAAACCACTAAAACATTCAATTGAGTCTATATACAGAATTATCGACGGTCAAACAAGAGTTTTTCATGGTTCTTCTGCACTCCATCTAAGACAACACCCATACGCCTTCAAAAATCAGTGTCTTGAAAGTAATCGTGTTCGCGAAGTTTTACTACCGAATTTAGTCGATGCACTTACAAATTTTTCGACAAGTCGATGGCGTTTATCCAGGGGCGGCGCTTATTTAGAACTTCTCTTTTGCTGAAAACAATGTGCTACGCAGTGTTTGTTTTCTTTGGTATGTTTACAATTGACAACACACATATAAAAACAACGTGCAACAAAGTTAGATTTTAGGATCTATTTCCCCTACCCCCTTACAGATCCAAATCAGAAACAATCTCAGCATCGGCAATGTCAAATAAAACATACAAAAACCGCTTTTCGACATTAGACGACGAGACAAGAACGTCAAAAAAGCAATACTTTTATTGAGCAAAACAACAACTTTGCACGTGTAGCACGCTTTTTTTACGTTTTAAAGTTATTGCAACACAGCGTTGCAATAATGGAACAATGTTGCAACCATGTCGCAACAATGATGCAACGCTGTGTTGCGGTAAAAATCGTCGTTGCGATCGTCTCGTGTAACATAACCTTTATGGAGGACGTTAACATCAATTTTCAGCGAACTGGAAAAAACGCGAATTCACTCTAAATGTGGCGTTTTCGCTGCTGTTGCCATTGTCGATGCTAAAGCTTTCTATTATCGCTTCTAAGAGCGGGGGACGCTCTTTAGAGTAAATGCCCAGAATAAGAATAAGCAAGAAGGCCTGGTTTCAGAGCTTACCTGTAGGCATTCGGTGAATAAATACATTCCGTTGAAAAGTAATCCAGTTTTTTAAAGTATGCGTACCTGGGTATAGTGAAAAAATGCGCTGAATGTCATTTCCAAGAGGAAACTTTAAGTCAGTAAACACTAACACACACAACGGCTCCAAAACATACGTCTGTGATGGGTTTCAGCGTCAAAAATCATAAAAGCAAATGATGTCCTTCGCACACATTCTTTTTCATGCCTTAGAGAATATAAGTACTAGACACAGCTTCAAAACTTCATTTACTTCAACATGTCTTTGAACAAACATAGCAAAGGATGACACAGGTTTCTTACCATTTTACACAAACCACTCGGGTGAAAATCTTCAGGGTGCATAGTTAAACATAAAACTATAAAATTTGACGTGTTGGAAGAACGACCCGCTACGAAGTATATCCAAATCAGCTGAACAAATACCCTCCGAGCAGTGGCATTCCAGGCCGGATACTACGCTACGTCAGGCCTGGAAAGACCACTGCTCGCAGGGAACTGAACAAAATACAAGGAGCGGAAATAGTGATTCGCATCAAATCAAACCCCATATATTTCCGAGGCTTCCCAAACAGAATAATAGAAACCAATTCATTTTCCAACCGAATTTTCCATGTAAATGGTAAGTACCCACAATTATTAAAGTCTCTCCGACTGCAGGAAAACAGGAAGATTACTGGGTATTGTTTCCAGGCGTTCTGCAAGCCTTGGTACAACGTTACTAAAGTAAACAATACCCCAACGCACTTTTTAGAATGCGTACTACTTTTCACTTGAATGTTTTCTGGACAGCTTTCGAATTTGACAATTTTAGAGTACACATTAACAGACTCGTAAATTTTAAAATTTGTCGAATCTTGACTTTTTATCTGTGCAAAAAAGCGAAACGTCGCGAAATTAAGTTATCCGCACTCCGGCCAATGCAAATGTGCGAAAAAAATTCGATGAGCCAATCAGATTTCAAAGCCAGCTCAAGTAGCCGCAACTAAGCGCGGGAAAAGGAGCCGAGCAGCAAGTCACGATTGGTTTTAGTTTAACTTCTGATTGGTTGAGAGAGCAGCACAAGTACTATTAGCTAATCATAAAACATCGCATGAGCCACTTGATTGACAACTACTCTGTCAGTTTACTTACATGACAATTTCTTTTTCGTAAGTGTACTTGAATGGCTTACAACGAGGAATGGCACCCTCTGTACCCTGAATATTACAAACAAATGGAACAAATCACTTTTATTGGCTAGTTGAACGAAGCCTAACAGAGAAAAACGAAGAGGTTGGTTTTAAACCTGAGTATTGTTGTTTCCTTTTATTGTAAACGACTTAACGTTCAACAAAAAGACCACGTGGTCAAATATTGTATTCCCTTCAGCCACACCTTTAAAAGAGGAATTCGAGTCTCTATACCACTGGCTCTATCAGCAGCAGGAAAAGGCTAAAATCCCAGTGGTGTTTTAGCAGTAATGCTAGCAATTAAGGCTCAACATTCATACAATACTTAAGTCCGATTCAGGTTATAACAAGTAGAAACTGAGAAATAGAACATAAAAGATTTACACCGCGTGTTGTTTTACTTCAGAATCACAGAATATTTGACAGACTACCAGCACAAGTTTTCAAGCTAATTAAATAATCATCTTATCATACAGATGTTAAATGAACAAAGGAGTTAGCTTCAAAGGAAACTGTTAATGCTGCATCGGCCGTTGAGTGAAACACAAAAACTATTAAACTTGACAAAGTCGATTTTCTGCCATAAAAAAGATAGAAAACCTAACATTTTGAGCACTGGCCCCTTGTCAGAGTGAAATAGTCTGCCTAGCCAGCAGGACTGTCACAGTGTAAGCAAAGCTGTGAGAATGGCGGCTTCGTCGCCAAAACTCTCACACAAGCAAAAACAATCCCGCGGGCTAAGAGTGAATCAATGGTAAATGGTATCTCACACCCACACCTTGTAACCCTAGAGAAAGAGGGTTTAATTGGGGTATAACTACACTTTAGTTCTATGTTAGTTGCTAACTAAAAAGTTAGCAACTTACATAGAATAACAGTATCATTACAAAAGTTCACAATACATGTGGTACTTACGGTCATGATAGCTGTACATCGCCTAAGTCTGGCTATATCTCCTCGTAAGACTAAAGCAGAAAACGATAGAAATGTTTAGCTACTTCAACAACACAAAGCACTGCCAAACTTTGACACACTTGGTGGACTATCATGATTGAACCAAAGGTCATATGAAGAAAAAGTTAAAAGCGTCTTCTCAAATTTTGGCAAATAACTTTTAACCTAGTTACAAGAAAAAAAAATTAGAAAAATTGGCTCTTTTAAACTGGACCTAAAGTAAGTTTTATTGACAAAAGAAATTTATTCATTTGTCAGTGTTTCTTTCGAAGTTTCTTACTTGATTTCTAACTATCTACTATTAATTACTACGGATCGTAGCTCTCACCATTCATAATCACTGTTTCTGCTATATCATCTGCATTGTGACCTTCAAAAGTGATAACAAGGAACATTATTGACAAACTATGACAATCACTCGATTTTTAAGTGTTGTGAAACCACAGTAACATTCATTGATGCAATGACATTATAATTATTTAAAGCTGATACTAATTATGTTTGTAACATCTATTTGCTCATATTAAAGCAGCTAACTGACCTGTAACTATTTTATCAACCTTTAAAGCCATTGCTCCTCTGTCTAAAGCTTGCCGTCTGAATACTCCACAAAATGTACCTGCCAAAGTAAAATATACAGTTATACTGTAAGAGTACATCAGTTAAGACGGTTCTGTTTTACTTCACTGTTTATATGTACGTTTCTTTGCCGTCATTGAATGTCTATGAGGTGTAATTTCCTAATTTCACATTCTATCAATGGAGGATGGGAACTCAAGACAACGATTTTCTTTTTCTTTCGTGAAGTTGGTTGTAGTCCTTTAGAAATAAACTCCTGCAAAAACCACCAACCTGTGACAAACTAGAAGAGTTGGAATAAGGGCAATGAAGTTTGAAACAGTGCGAATTCATTTTTTGTGTGACCTTTTTCAGTCGTTGCCATTGTCGTTGCCTAATCTCCTAATATTTACTGTGTTCTAAGGGCCCCTGACAGTGCGCTCTCCCTCACAAACAATAGACCACATCCTGGGGTCTATGTCTCCTACTATTTTCAAAAGGCAGTGAGTGGTTTTTTACATCCCCTTCAAATTGATGACCAAGGAAGGAAGAGTTGAGGCCAACAGCTTAACATCACCTTTCCCCATATTGACTGAGACAGATTAAATTACGATCTTTACCGCACTGTTAAAGACCACGGTTGTTGGTCAAGCAAGGGTTTGAAATTTCATTACGTTTTTCAGAATAGTAGGAACAAATCTTTAATTATTAAACAGTGTTGAAGTGTGTAATGGCATTACGTGTGAGTTTTGTGGTTCGATCAAGTTCACTGTATTTCCTTTGTTTTTGTGAATGGGAATGTATAATTATGATAAATGAAAAACACAAAATCACGAAGGAGAGTTATATTTGAACCAAAGATGAGGTTGAACAGAACAGAAACAAGAAATAAAGTGGGCTACAGAGTGTATGTCTGCACTTCTGCCATAATGTTATATCCTAGATGTGTGTATCCTGGCCACTTTCTCACAATCCATGCCAGGCACCTTGATTGTCTAGCAAGATTTGCTGGTTGTCATGTTTTTACTTTTGTCTTACAAATTGTCTCACCAGTGAAACACAGACTCTACTTAACATTTAGTTTTCTATAGGTACTGCAGGTGTTCAACATACTGTAGATGTAGTTACCAACTCTAAACAGGCCCTAGGTACAGCTGTAACTGTAAACCACTTTATTGATAAGGTGTATCAACAAGTTATCAAAAGAAAATCTTTTGGATTGATGACTTACAATTATTTTTCAGTCCAATTTGCTTGACAATAGCATCCATGGTCCAGCCATAAAGTTCCTTAAAAATAAAATTCAAACAGTTTTAATAACTGATAATAGATTTCAAAGCTTAGCCACTGACATATCATATAGAATAGTTAACAATATAGTGTTAAATTCACCTCATAAGAAACTATCTTCAAAGGCAGCTCATACTGCATTTCATTTCTCTTCACTGTCTGTTAATGAAAAATATAAACACTCATTTATTTTCAAACTGTACAGAAAAAATAACTTGTTCACCCACAAAACACTTTAAAACAGCTTTAACGAAACTTGGCCTTCTCTGCCCAGATGTTCAAAGGCTGATTATTACCATCTAGGACCCAGTTGTTCGAAGGCTGATTATTACCATCCAGGACCCAGTTGTTCGAAGGCTGATTAACCTGGAGTTACCTTTTAATCAGGGTCTTTTTTCTTTTGTTGAAAAGCACTTTCTCAGATAATTTTTTCGATTCTTTTTAGAGCATCGAATCATCAAATTGTAGACAAGAAGAATTAAGCTGATTTTGCTTTTTACACTTTCATATCTGACATCAAACTTCCCACTAAACCTGGGTTATCCTATTGAAGCTTTAAACAACCCTGCGCAGGGGTCAAATAAATTGCAATCCTCAGCCCCTGTTTCTTTTGTTTATTGCAGTGTTTTTAAATAGTTTATTATAACTTAAGTAATTTTAGAGAAACCAAACATCAAATTGTTGGCAAGAAGAATTCAACTGAATTTTTATTGTTAGCGCTCAGATTTCAATTCAAATTTTGCACTAACCTAGGGCTACCTTAAGGCAATTCACTAGTTTTGTACTCCACATCTCTAACTGTGTCTGTTCCTAACTCAGCATTAAAGCAAAACTAGGTTAAATAAGATAACAACTTAGCCCTGGTGAACATTAGGCTGCATTTATCACCTTTATCTTTCATATACTACCTCTGATAAAGTTAAAATTAAAATCTATTTCTTTCACCTCTAGAGAATCATCTCTGTAACCAGTAATTCCTTCATCCACAGATAACAAAATTAACTTTAATCCATAGTTGTATTCTTCATTTAGTTTCTTTAAGACATAAGCCAACACTGTGGAATCTGTAACCAAAAAACACAAACACTTACAATAAAGGGCCTAAGAGCACACATGTACATACCGTTAATTCATAATTGATTTACAGTCAAATCCATAAGAAGAAAGTACAAACAGATGGTAGACTGTCATTAAGAAGGATAAATACCTCGTGATACCTCACTTTTAATATTGAAAGTGGAAAAATACTTTTTAAAAAAAACTATATTTTGTGAAATTAATGATACATTGCATTGTACTGCAACTGGAGAGGTTCCATTTAAATGGTCATACATGTACCATGAGATTTTCACATAAAGACTTAATCAGTACAACTACATGCAATGCAGTGAGTGATGCTTGAAACCAAATTAATCAGGGTAATGAATGGATGGTAAAAACAACAACAACAACAACAACAACAGAATTGAGGACAAAAATAATTAAGTTATATCTTGAGGCAAACCATCATTTACATGTTATGCTTCATTAGTATCTGTATCACCCATAAAATAATTAATATAATAACAACCATAAACGTAACACTAACCATAAATGTCATAAAAGTCAACCATAAATGTAATACCCACCGTAAATGTAATAAAAACCAACCCTAAATGTAATAAATTACTAGGCATAAATGCAACACAGTGAAATGAATTACCATCACTAACCTTTCCCACCAGATGCACCAATGGCAACAACTTCTCCTTTTTCAAAGAGTTTGTTTGAAATTATAGTCTGATGGACTTCTGTCTCAAACGTTGTGTAAAAACAATCTTTGCACAATGCATGGCCCTAATGGGGTATCAAATACATTTAAATGATCAAAACATATCAAAACCAAGCTTGTGACCAGTGAAGTCATAATATAACCTCCCGGGGTGAGGAACAATGGAATTCTCCAGGGGTAAGTTAAGGATTTCTTTAAGGGTAGGGTAAAAAAAATGTGAAATTCTTTGGAGGTAGTGCATTATTTTTTTCTTCTGGGATAGACCCATATTTTATTTAATCTTCAGGGGTAAGAAGAAAAGGTAAGTCCTCAACTGGTGGGTACGGATATTATGCACCTATCAGTGTTAATCTGGAGGGGGAGGAGGCCAGGCAAAGGCCACGAATTTGAACTCGAAGCAATTTTCTGGGTCAAATACCCTACCCCAGGGCCATTATTATTCAAAAGAGAACAAATTCCCTACCCTTCTAACTAAGACAAGAGGTCAAATGTGTTTCATTGAAAGACGCAACACACCAACTTTTTGGGAAAGCCGCATCTGTTTATTTCAACAATTGTCATTAAAATGCCCCAGCAAAATGCCAGCATCACGAAGGAATGTTTTCCACCCACACAGTTCAACAAATTTGCAGCTGTTAAACAAGCAAATTTACAACGTACTTGCTTTCAAACTCGGGCAAACTGTTTGTATCAATCAGGCAGTCATACGGAATAAGATTCTAACTTCCCCCAAAAAAAAATGTAAATGGATGGATGCAAATAGAGAGGATAAAACTGCCATTTTGCCCACGTACATAAAAAATACCCACAGATCCTTGTGGGAACAAGGGCCTCCATCTTTGGTTACCTATCCCCCTGGCTCCAGTTGTTCAAACAGTGGATAGCGCTATCCACCACAGGTAACCCAGGCTCTGTGATAGTACCACAGTACGGTTCCAGTAAAATTACAGTGTTTGTATGGGGTAAAAATATCATCCTAAAATTTCTAGGAAATACTAAATAAAGATCAATGAAACTTACTCTGCAGTTAATTGTTGTTGTCCTTATTGCTCCAACGAAGTTTCGTGATAATTTGCAGTAATTTGTTCAAATTCACTCTATCTACAATAATAATATACAAGGTAGGAAACACGAGGTGCCATTTTCGCCGACATGCTCTCATTCAACACAACTTTTTCCACGAAATTCGAACTCCAACGGAAAATAAACATGCCAGGATCGTAGAAATAGGATAGCAGCAGATATAGAAACCAATGAAGCTTTCCCAGATAGAGAAACGAATCCCACAGACTTTGACAAACTCGAAGAATATAATCCAAACACACCGAGAATACGCTCGCCGAAGCAGCCGGGCCAGATCAACGCGCGGCCAAGAAAATGAAGCCTGGGCACTGTACAAAAAAATTCCATCCCGGGGGTCCTGGGGTGACCTTTCTAGGGACCGATACATCATTTGCCCAAGGCCACCCTCCCCTGCTGGAAAAATACTTGATAGAAGGCAATTGTTCTTCCTAGCCAATCACTATGGCCTGTTATAAAGAGATTATTTTCCTCTCGAACTATATTCAGCTCCTGGCGCTGGTCCTCAGAAAGTTTATCAAACATCAATAGGGCAAGGTTATAAGGGCAAAAGAAAGAACAACGAAGGACGATTTACAAAACTTAAAACGAGCAAAAGATATAAGTGAATTTTGGCTCTTACCGAGGCATTTGTACAACAGGACCAAATTCAAAGAGAGGTGTATCACGATGATTCACATATTTAACCGATAGAGCGTTCACTTGTATTGACAAGAAGTCGGTGTGTTACTGCCGCATTAATCGCTAAATATGTTAATCGCGCTAGTTCTTTGTTTACTAGTGCACGTGCCTTTCACATTCGTCTCAGTTATCGCAATTCATACTCTGTCGCAATTTTCTGTATAATTTTTGACATTAGTTTGTAAGCTTCACCGTTTATTTACGATAGTTTCGCTCAAGAGTTCACAGCAACAGTATCTCAGTCATCATCTACCTTTTGTTCACTTGTACTTTTTTTTTAGCCATTTAAATTCAGGCGCGTGTGCGGGGTTTGCTCTGGCAAATGGTGATTGGCTAGGAAGAACAATTGCCTTCTATCAAGTATTTTTCCAGCAGGGGAGGGTGGCCTTGGGCAAATGATGTATCGGTCCCTAGAAAGGTCACCCCAGGACCCCCAGGATGGAATTTTTTTGTACAGTGCCCAGGCTTCATTTTCTTGGCCGCACGTTGATCTGGCCCGGCTGCTTCGGCGAGCGTATTCTCGGTGTGTTTGGATTATATTCTTCGAGTTTGTCAAAGTCTGTGGGATTCGTTTCTCTATGTGGGAAAGCTTCATTGGTTTCTATATCTGCTGCTATCCTATTTCTACGATCCTGGCATGTTTATTTTCCATTGGAGTTCGAATTTCGTGGAAAAAGTTGTGTTGAATGAGAGCATGTCGGCGAAAATGGCACCTCGTGTTTCCTACCTTGTATATTATTATTGTAGATAGAGTGAATTTGAACAAATTACTGCAAATTATCACGAAACTTTGTTGGAGCAATAAGGACAACAACAATTAACTGCAGAGTAAGTTTCATTGATCTTTATTTAGTATTTCCTAGAAATTTTAGGATGATATTTTTACCCCATACAAACACTGTAATTTTACTGGAACCGTACTGTGGTACTATCACAGAGCCTGGGTTACCTGTGTATCCACCAGATAAATCTCTATCCACTAGATAGCGCAATTGGCTCCCATAATATTTATCCAGTGGATAGTGATTTATCTGGTGGATAGCGCTATCCACCTTTTAAACAACTGGGGTGAGGTATTTCAACTGTTAACTGACTGGTAACCAGGTCTTTAACAGCTTCCAATCCAAGATGATGTCCGTAATCGGATGAAATTCAAAAGTTCCCACCCCCGCGACTGGGCGATAATCAAAAGTCCTCAACACGGGCCGACTTCCTTTGTCAAATCCCCGGACTCCAACCCCAACCAACCCCCTCCCCCCCACGGATTACACTGACAGGTGAGTTAAATGCAATAGCCCATTGTAAAACAAACAGTGTCAAATCTATCAACCCCGCTTAATAAACACATTTAAAAGTACCACAAAATCGGAGGATCGTACTACGCAAGATAAAAACTAAACAGTTACGCTTTAGAACAAGATTCGAGGGCCTTTTGAAGTTTAACTTAATTACACCGAAAAAAGGACACAGATTTTTGTTTAAGTTGCAATTATTGCGCCATCAGGACCAAGACACACGAGAAGCTTAAACTACGAACTAAAGAATCCTCTTATTAAAGTAACTTTGATCAACTGCAATAGCATCATGAACCAGCTTACCGTTTTCGGTCGCTTCAAAATAGCCTTGTTCCCACATATTTTACAAGACAGAGGCATGTTTTCTTCAATAAAGACAAAAACCCACATAAAATCCGCCGTCCGCCATGTTGATTTCTTACTCGATACCAGTTCCTCGTGAAGCCAGGTGTGAAGGCCTGGCTATCCAGCTGTTCCCAGATCTCTTTTATCCTCGACGAAATAATTTGGCCTGCTTGTTTTTGCTTCGTTTACAATTTTTTATTTCCTTTTGGATCTTTTGGCAATCTAAGTGAATATTTTATTACTTTCCTAGTAGAATGAATCGCTCTCTTCGCCTGAGAGAACAGTCGACCCATTTGGCCCACCTTTTCTCGAAAGGTGAACGAAGTAAACGAGTAAGATCCATAAAATTGAGTCAACGTGGCGAAGTAGAACAAGTCCATAAATCCGGTATTAACTGCGTTGATATCGACACTGGAGAAGGCAAATATCTTTTGTCGTCAAGTTCCAATGGAAAAATAGTTGTTCACGACATAGAGGATTGTTTCTACAGTGAGCATTTCAAATGTAACTCAGTTGCCACCGTGGAAAGAACTTTGAAGGACAGCCACAAACATAGTGTCGAGACAGTTCAGTGGTACCCAAATGACACAGGAATGTTTTTATCCAGTTCGGTTGATAACACTTTGAAGGTGTGGGATACAAACGCTCTTGAAGTTGTTGAGAGCTTTCAGTTGGAAGGAATAGTCTACCATCATCAAATGCCAAGAAATGCTAGGAAACATTGTTTAGCAGCAGCAGCTTGCGAGGATTCCAGAGTTTATCTCTGTGATTTGAAATCTGGCTCAGCAATTCATATTTTAAAGGGACATTCAAAGGCAGTTATTTCTGTAGCTTGGTCACCCAGGAGTGAATACTTTCTAGCAACAGGTAGCCGAGACAATAAAGTGCTTTTATGGGATGTGAGAAAAGCTGTGGGTAGTATCCTTTCATTAGATCAACACAATGGAAAAGGAGGATCCAGATCATCGTCCATTAACACAGCTCATAATGGACATGTTAATGGTATTTCCTTCTCTCCTGACGGACTACACTTATTGACCTATGGAACAGATGATCGCTTAAGACTGTGGGATACTTTTACTGGGAAGAACACGCTTGTTAATTTTGGTCGCATCCATAATCCTTGCCGCAAGGCAATCAAGCTTTGCCAGTCAACTGGCACATCAAGTGAAGTGGTCTTTGTTCCATCAGGAAGCAATATTGAAGTATTTGAAGTAGTTACAGGAAAGCATATAATCACCTTAAATGGTCATTTTAACAATGTTAACTGCTGCACCTTTCACCAGCATTTTCAAGCTGTGTTCAGTGGTGCAAACGACACAAATCTTTTAGTATGGCTTCCACAGTTGAACAGAATGACAGAGGAAAGGACTTCATCGGTAGCTGCTTCAAATACTGAAAACAAGAGTTATAATCCTTATCAAGACTCTTGGAGTAGTGATGAAGAGGAAGCATAAAAAGTAAAACGTGATGTCCTTCGGGCAAGATGTAGCTAAACTAGCCTGAAAATATTTTTTGATGGGCAGGATTGATTACAGTCCTTTCAAAAACTTTATTTGCCTGTTGCGCAGGTTAAGAAGAGAATTTACTAGCCTGATAGCAAAATCTACTAGCCCCTGGTTATCATACTCGACTTCCTTTACATGCTGTATAACAGTTTTTTTTAGTTGCTCTCATTTTTACTATTATGAAATTAGAAAGGTGAATTAAAAACAAACAGAACAACAGATAAAAAAGCTTCATCATAAGCAATTTCTAGTGGCTGAGACAAGAGTAATAATCCCTATCAAGGCTCCTGGATTAGAAATGTATTATAATTTAATAAGAGAGCGTATTATTTTTATTATAATACTATCATACTGTAATCCAGTGGAAAAATGAAGTTCCTTTTAAAGGCATTTTAAGAGAACATTTTCTGTGCTGTTTTCTCACAAAATGAAATTCCAGCCACGAATCTGTCTGCTGACAGAAATAAAGAAGGAAGCCTTTGCTTCAGAATGATTTCAACCTGGGGGAGAGTTTTGATACAATAAGGGAATATCAATGTTCAATCTAAAAACTTTTGAGGTCAGTTTTACGCTTATAACCAATTGTGTTCATCTTTGGCTCGTTTAATGAGAGTGCTAACATTTAGGCATTCTTGGGAATATTTTTATAGGTTGCACAAGTTTTTTTATGAAATTAATGGTTGAATGTTAAAACTGATGAGTCACAAGTGGTATGAAGGTCGTGTTTCCAAGTGTGAAGATCATTGAGATATGAATAGTCTGCAAGCAAGCTCTCCAGGGCTCTCTGGCAGCAGGGCAGGAAGAGCTTGCAACTAGGTCTCTAGAATTTGAATATCTGCATTGAAAAAGTCGATGCAAAATGCTGATTGGCAGAGATGACATTAGTAGTGAAGTCATTTACCTTTGGCTTGTGTTTTTGAATGTTTGTTTACATTCGCGTTCTTTTCCGCTTCGCGCTGATTGGTAGAAATCTAACCACTCAGTTGATGGGGAGCCACAAGGGAATTGGAGGTGGAATTCAAATTCGAGAGATGTAATAATTTGCAAGCTCCCCTTTCTTTTCCCACCCCGCCGCCAGAGTGCCTTGGAGAGCTTGCTTGCAGGCTAAAGGAAGGAGAGAGCTCACGACCCAATAGTCTCCCCACTTGGGGTCTTATGGTCAATGATGCATGATGACATGGATGCAAGGTAGCTAAGCAACGGAGTACTGGACGTGCAATCCAGGAGCCCTAGCTGACTGCTAGCTGCAAATTTGCTCCTCGGTAGGCTTTTAAACAGCTAAGCCATGGCCATGCAGTCATCTTGCTTGGCAAACTCTTATTTAACCTATAGTTAAGAAGAATATGACTGAGTCGTTGGTGATAACCCGATAGAGTAACAACATTTACCGCTGCAGCAACAATTGCCGCCAGCTTTATTTCAGTTTAGTATATACTAAAACAGTGTTTTTCGCGCGCTCTGATTGGCTACTCAATCAGTGAATATCCTGCACTATTCACCGATTCACCTCCAGTTCCTCCGAGCGAGCGACACCAAACTCGCGTAAGTTGCGAGCAAAATGCCTTTCCGGTTTGCTGCCGTAAACAAACAAAGAAATTTCACAACTAATCAAACAAGCTGTTTCCGAAATACACGAAGAAGGTGACCAAGTTCGTTTTGGAAGTTTTAACAGGTAAAGCTTTGTCTTTTTGACACGAATTTATCGATAAAACCGGTGAAAAAGTTTTTTGTTTACAAATGCAAATTAAGCTTAAGTCTTACTTACTTTATTTAGTTGAGTTGTTCATAAATAAGCTTAAAACTAAATTTAATATTTGGAAGTTTTAACAGGTAAAGCTTTGTCTTTTTGACACGAATTTATCGATAAAACCGGTGAAAAAGTTTTTTGTTTACAAATGCAAATTAAGTTTAAGTCTTGCTTACTTTACTTAGTTGAGTTGTTCATAAATAAGCTTAAAACTAAATTTAATAATCTTAGTTATAGAATGATTTTAATTACGAAAAGAATTCACAACTCCTTTTAATGAAATTTCCCCGCAAGAGCTAAACAAATGCCTTCAAAAGTGTTACTTGTCGGCAAGAAAAAGCGACGGCCGCGGCCGCCCGGTCATTACGCGCCAAAATTGTAATCGTCGGCCGCAGTATTTGAGTTAAAAATCGTCATTTTTGTGCTCAACTATCTCACTGTTTAGTATATACTAAAACAATTATTCACCTCAGTGTCAGTGGCTAGTCGTAGATATTTACCTCACTGCTTCGCAGTTCGGTACATACTCACGACTAGCCACCTCCACTTCGGTGAATAATTGTTATATCGACAACACACAGCTAGGTAATTCAGTTAGTGTACTTCGGTTTAAAATTTATCAGAAAGTTGAGTGTTGGCTCTTCTAAGATCTCGATCAATTAAATGGAATCTTTACTGTTAAAGAACTAGTTGGTCACATCGACCAAGAAAATTTAGATCACTAAGAGATGTAGACGTAAGTATGTTGACGTAAAAAAAAGTTTTGAGCTGTCCGTACTGAACATATTAAGAAAAGTATCCATATTATGGACTATTCAATCGAGGGAAAATACAACCAGTACACCCTCTATTTCTTCCTGATTCAACCGAAAACCGTTTTTGACAGCTAAATGGACCTCGAATCAGTCTGTCAGTGAATGGGGAGACGAGGACGAGATTTAACTTAGAATTTTTTCGCGTATTCTCAAAAAATATTCAGTCTCGGAAAGCTTCATTGTGCTTTTATGGAAGGAGGTTTATCCCCCTCTCGATCGCATAGTGATAAATCCTCTAACCGTTTGTTTCTGTACGAAATTCTCGCTAAAATCTGTAATAGAAGGCTATCGCGTTTTCCCGCCAAAAGGACGCAGGACGCAATGTACTCTATTTGATATCTTAAGGTATCAATATTATGATTGTTTAGCTCTCTGCATAATTGCTGCCTTGTTGCTTACTTTTATTTATTAGTTTATATTATTTACTTGTTTGTGTATTTCTTGCTTACTTATTTACACTTGTAAACTTATTTAATTTCTGTTTTGTATCTTGTTTTAGTTTTGTAGTTTTGCCTACAGTCTTCATTTCTATTTAAAATAATTTCTGTCATTCTGACCACAGGCCGTGTAAGAGCCCGGCTTTGGCTTTACTGAGTTTGTACTATATGAGCGATGGAATAATAAAGTTAAGTTAAGTTAAAAAAAATAGTATGGAAAAAATCTCGTTCTCGTCCTCGGGTGTTACTAAACAGAGTAACACAGTAACGAGTAACGGATTAATGAGAAAACGAGTAACGAGATAAAAATTCAAGAAGTTAAAGAAATAAATAAATAAATCCTAATGAAAGAAAAACATAAAAATGATTGTAATATCCTAATAATGACCTTTACCAATCACGAAAAATATGTGTATTCCAAAAAGTGCTTAAAACAATGACGTCAAACCCCCACCACTCCCTCCAGCAAAGTCGAAGGTATTTTCGTGCCGAAAAAGTCAATTGGCTACGGCTGTTATTTGCAATTGAATATGCCTATCCAGCAGATAAAGTAACAAAACGTTCCTTTTATCGTTCACCCTAAAAGGTTATTTCCTACAGCCCAGGATTAGGAAGACTATTTTAAAAGTGCCGAGTTTCTGAACAACTGTCACAAATCATTGAATATGTACAACTGAAATGAGTAAGTAGTACCCAGGTAGTAGCATTAGTACCAAGATCGACATCTGCATCAATCACATTGATTTCCGTATGGTTTATAGTTTGATCCCGCGGTATACGCTGTGCTTATTGAGATCATGAAGAAAAGAAACAGAAAGTTAGTTTTGAAATAGCTAAGTAGCAAAGTGGATCCTACAAAAAAATAGTTAATTTCATGCCCTGGGCAGTAACAATGTTTCAGTTATTCTGCATTGATTGATGTTAAACGCAACTTCGAGCAAACCAATCCATTTAAATGTTTCTTTCCTTTATTTTACTTTAACTGAAAACGATCTAAAAACTAGTCTCGCTTTGCAATTCTATTTTGCCGTCAGTAATCAAATTTCAGGGTGTTTACATCGGGGGTTATTTTTAAACATGATTTATAATTTCTTTTAAACCGGTAGAAAAGTTCACCATAATGAACTTTTGGAAGGCAGTATTAAGTCGAATCCCGTATTTTCGAGAGGAGTTAAAAGACATTGAAAGTTGAGCAGGAAAGGTAATAACCCCGGGAGTAATAAATGAGCAAATTGTTTCCAAGCCTTGGCAAGCGAGTACTTGGTTAGTTGGTAACCCGTAATAAGGGCCCAACAAGGTTCTATTATTTTGATTTACCTGACAGAACTATTTCTTCTAAGAAATAAAATAATTGTGGCAATCAGAAAGATAATCTGTGGTCATCTGTACCTCACCTTCCTCCATGGTTGCTCCTCGGTCTCCTCGTGGCTGTGAGAAAATATCCATTTGATTTACACCCATCCAAACCTCTTATTTAATTTCATTGGTCCCTGTAACCTGCACTACCTATAGGGGCATTGCTATGTCACCATCCCCATTGTTTTCCCAGCCAATCACAAAGCCTTTTTGAAATGGGTGCAGGTCGGCCCCATATCCTGAGGCGTAGCCAGGTGACACTTTCGGCCCGAAAATACCTTCCACTTTGCTGGATGGAGGGGTGGGGGGGTTGACGTCGTTGTTTTAAGCACTTTTTGGAATACATATTTTTCGAGATTGGTAAAGATCATTATTAGAATATTACAACTGATTTTTGTGTTTTTTCTTTCATTAGGATTTATTTATATATTTTTTTAACCTCTTGAATTTTTATCCCGTTACTCTTTTGCTCGTTATTCCGTTACTCGTTACTGCGTTACACTGTTTAGTAACATCCCTCCTCGTCTTATAGAATCTAAAGGTCTCCAATATCTCAATGAAGCATAGCGAGTTTGTTTACATTATTTCTTTTCCTCTTTTTATTTCCGTTACTTATTTTATTTACATGTAGACACTCCAGTTTTATTTCATCACAACCTAGTAACAAAGCTCCCTCTGCTCGACTTGATTTTCTTATACTTTGCGCACAAGCCATCCCCTCTTTAAAGAAAATTATTAGACTATTAAAACAGCCTGTTTTCCGCGCAAAACTTGAGTTCTGCTCAATAACGTCATCACTTCAGGTAGAATCCAGGCCTCGGCGAGCAAAGAAAGCTTCAGTACTAGGTTGATTCTCTATTAGCGTTAATAGTTTAGCTAGCATAATAAACATCCAATGTTTCAAACATGGTCAATTCACCACCGTCCAGTGGTGGGTCAGGTAAGACTTTGTCAAAACCTTCCTTGCCAACCAACCAGTAAGTAGTCACCAGGCCCTGCCTCTGTCAGGAAACAAAACAAAACATAAAGCTAATTTTGGCAGGTCATCATTATTTATATTGTTACAATTAAGTTTCGATAAGTTATCGAAAATTAAACCTGCTGGAAGGGTGTAAATAAAGAAGCCCAACCTCTGTGCTTTCACTAACACTAGAAGAGGAAAATTGAGCGAAAGGATTAGCTAATAACGTTTTCACCGACGTACGTCGACATTGATGTCTAGCTACTGATCGCAAGGCCTAGAAAGGGTTAAAAAAAGACCACGCCTCAATGTTACCTTGATTTGAACCTGTCCTCTTTCCTCGAAGTAAAACCCTCCAAGTTCGACCAACCTTGCATGCGATTCATTACTGACGTGAATTCGCAAAGCTAAAGGAGAAGAAACATAAGAATATGAAATATAGCTGGCTACAGTATAAGTCTATAAAAACTGGGATCTCGCACATTAAAAAATCTCTGAAAACAGCCGTTTTTGTTGGCGATAATTTCCTTGGAGTTAAGAGTTTCCCAGAGTGTGAAGGAAACAAAAATAGCAATCAAAGCGTTTGAAAGCGGGATAATAAAAATTTCTCAGGTCATTTATTTGGTTTTTCATGATTGTTGCGTTTCGTGGTTGGCTGAAAATTTTCGCTTCAATTTCTGAACATGCTTGAGTGTCTTACTTCTTTTCAACGCGATATCAATTGACCTCAAGACCACCTCTTTGGCCGAATATGGAGTGCTCGGAGCTAGGCTCTATACTTTCTCTCGAACGCTTGGTAGAAATCTTCAACATCAAAGCGTTTCTTTTGCCAGAGGTACTTACGCATGCTGGTGCTCTCCAATTTGGAAGCGATGTTAACAGTATGACCGTAAAGACAGAAGCGTGGCATTGTCACACCGACTACCGCTGCCACTACTGGGCCTGCAATCACAATATAGCAAAAGACAGCGGTATCCCAGATTAATAAATCAGTGTTCGTTATTAGAGCCACATGGGGTACTCTTGGTCCATAGTGGAATCTATGGTATACGTTCTCATAGCCGTGCCATATAGACTAGGCTGGAATTTATACTAGGTTTTGTCTCCTTTTCTTTCAGTTTAGGAAAGTATTGATTCTCAGTTGCTTTGAAACAAGAATTAGACGATTGCAGTTTATCTAGAAAAAGGGCCCAGCCACTATTTCGACGCTATTTATACAAGCAATGTTGAATTTCGGCAAGTAAAAATGATGATCTTTATCTTAGTCAGGCATATTCTCCACCGACGTCTGGCTTGTAAAAAATTCGGTTAAACAAAATAAGGATTCGTTAGTTTTCCCACATAAGTGGGAAAACGTTTTGTCCTTTTCTCATGACTCACACCATAGAGGCTCATATTAGTAATTGCCAGGATCGAAATGTAGAGAGAGGAGTTTGGGACGACACACTTACCAGTGTGTATGCCAATACGCAGCTGCAGTTGATGTTCTGGCAGATGACGTACACGAAACACCGCCATGTGACTAAGAAGCTCGAGAGCCATACTTGCTATCTCACCCGCATGCTTGATACCATTCAACATGGGGCAGCCGCTGACAACTACGTACGCATCGCCTACTGTCTCCACCTGATACAAAATTTTAAACCATTATTGGTTTACTCAAACTCGGCGCTGAAATAAGATTTTACAAGCTCCGTGAAAGCCATCTAGCCGAGAATATTGATTCAAGTATTAAACAACGACACTCGCAGCAGTTGGGATGGAGAGAAGAAGTACACACATCGGGAAGTTTGATTAGTTGGTTGAGACTGGGTGTGACACTGGAAAGATACTCAGTTTTCGTTTAGTGTTTAACGAAATTTGATGACTGTTCAGAGGCCTAGGCAATACGCAACTTAGTGATTGGATCCGGCTATGATATGCGTCGTCGTGGTAAATAACTGATCTATTGATCTTCCAAAAACTAAAAGGGGCGCTAACCTGCGTAGGCTGACCGTTCCGTGGGACAGCATACCGGAGCCGAGGTTCACACGGAAAAACAGAATTCGGATTTCAATAATAAGAATTTTTTTCCTTTAAAAGAATTTTTTTAAAAGGCTCTAATCAAGAACGGAAGATTGTTCAGGCCCTTTGCTAAAGACACTGATAGATGAGAACAGAAAATAACCTTGCCTAGTCCCTGTACGTCGTTTTCCCAGGCCTTCTCGGTCAATTCACTTCGGTGACGTACTCGAGGCGAACAGGCGACCCGAAACGAATTGACCGCGCGGAATAATGAGGCCTAGAGACAAGGCAAGAAATAATCCACTTAGGCTGATATGACGCGTGGAAGAAAGGTCACTATGATTTCCAGTTAAAAACGGCGTCTTTCTTACTTTATTCAGCTAGAATCGAGCAATACTAGATCTCTAGTACCTTGTAAACATCGAAGCGGCAAATGATCTCATCGAAGGCCACGTATAAATCGTTTAAAAAGTCCACAATCTGCAAAGTGAAACAATGGAGAGATTTAGAATAGTTTACGGCAAACGACAAACGTAAGAGGACGATTTCTCAATTGAAAAAGGAAATAAACAGTCAAAAACTTTGCAAAGTAAGTCTCATGGATAAACCTGACATGAAACTCTGTTTATTTGTGTGTAGATATAAGGAAATAGACGAAAAGTAACGGGAAAACTTGGTCACGTGGTACGAATTGACGTTTTCCATTCCCCCGTAAACGTGATTCTAAATTTCTCCAATTAAGTGAATAAATTGCCAGGAGAACAGAAGAAAAAGACATTGTTGCCTTAAAAAGTCTACATTAAGATAAAACGCAGGTATGCCGAGTTGTAGTTTGTGGGGACAAATTCCGGCTGAATCCACACTCTGGATCTTTAGATAATTGAGGGCGAAGCACTCTTCTGTTAAGCATTTAGCCTGCTCGAATAATTCAGTGGTGCGTGACAAAGGTGGTCCCCTCTCAAAAAGAGGAAATCTTAAATTTGTTGTAATGATAACTACAGAAATAATCTGCATGTTCCCCAAATATCAACCTCTGTGTGGACATCAGTCTCTATTAGATATGAATAATTCAAGTTTTAGGGTCTACAAAATGTTGAACAAAGTCCTTGGGACAGTGATGCAGTGTTGATAACTCAGTCTGTAACTTCTGATTGCTCTCATGAAACGAGTGCTAGCAATCTTATCAAAAATGCCTTGCAGTCCTCCCTCCACCAACCCTATACCATGTTGGAACGCGAGAAAATTCGTCATACACACTTCCAAAGTTGTTTGTGGGTGTAAGAGGTTAGGCAAGTGTCTACAAATTTGTCTCGAGACTAGCTTTTTTCCATGATTGTAGTTTGTTCTTTAAACTATATGGCTAGTTACCTGCAATGGTGTGCTGACAGAAGCTAGTTTCGTAAAGCCAACGATGTCGCTGAAAAATATGGTGACTTCTTCAAACTCTTCAGCCTGCACGGAATTATGGCTTTTCAACTGTTCTAGTACCAAACTGAAATTAAACAACAGTCTCGCCTCAATATGGGATTTGCAATAAGAACTTTCTTAAAGGGACCGCAAATGGACAAAACGGCCTTTTTGCTATATTTATATAGGTAGGGATTGTATGTGTATCTAGTTTGGTCTGTTGGAGACCAAAGAGTACTGCTGTGATTGTGATGGGGAGCCGATGGTAAATATTATGGAGAAAGAGATGTACAAAGTCAAAAGAGGCTCATTCATCTCTTGATTAATTGTAGTACTGATATCAAAAAATTTATTCATTTCTCCGTATTGTAGAATCAACGCGTGTTAAATTATTTTTCTTTGTAAAAAAGTGGTTTTTTTTTGGTTCGGAGATCTCGCTCCTATCGCAAAAGCCATATCTCTTTTTTCCGCCAATGCAAAATTCTCGCTAAAATTCGTAAATGACAACGACTATCACGTATTCCCTCCAAAATGACGCTGGTTCACGCGCCCCTACTACTTAGTATTGAAAAAATCTCGTCCCTGTACAAGTAGTCGTCCTCGTCCTCCAATCTAAAGGTCTTTATTATAGAGGATACCGTAACGAGGGGTTTAGTAAGTTTAATACTTACGGTGGCAGTAATCGGCAGAGGATTTTCTCGGTCTTTTCTTTCTCCTCGTTCAACTGCCTGGTCCGTTCCTCTACCAGCTGTTCAAGATGATTAGCATGTTTCTCCATCATAGTAACCATGTTCTCGATGATGTTTGATCCCCTAAAAAAAGGTGGAAAAGAAGCATAAATTATTTCCATTTAGTGTTAGGTTAACCATACGAATTCCGACCTTACAAGTAGTTAGTGGGGTTTTGGCTGACAGCTGCGAGGCTACCTAGCATAGAAAGGAATGCACAGGTACCACACATGCTGACGTTCGTTTTCACCTCTCTGGTCCCTCCGCAATTCAGCAACTGGTTGCAAGATAGTAAAACTTGCACCTTTTTCTTCTTTCTGCTCTTCTTCTATTTGGTTTGGTTCCTTACTCGATCGGTATGAGGCGAACACATAATAATGCCTACAGTTCTTAAACTGGGGCGAGCATTATAAGGCCTATGTCACGGCGTTTTCATGGACTGGTGTTATCTTAGAAACATTTTGTGGCACTTTTTCCAGCGCAAATAAATGCTCCGCTCCGTCTATGTGCGCGTTGGAAGAGTAAGATGAAAAAAGAAACCTAAACGTCATTAAAAGTTCAAAACTACCATTTTCAGGTCCGAGGGTTTTCATGACTTGTTTGTGGGACTTACAAGATATATTCTTAACTCAAGCAAAAATCGTTCTAAAAAGAAACTAATTTGTGAAAACACTTGCACTGCTACCAAGGTACATAAAAGTTACTTGCTTCCGGGCTATGGGCTCGTAATAGTGCACAGCCGTCGCTGACTTGTCTTGCAGCTGATAACTTGTTTCATGTGTAATCTCGGTGCCAGGGATCGATTGCGATATTTAATTTACAGGATCCAATCAAATATTTCACCTTATGGAGAAGCAAAACCCAGATCTCTATCAAATACGATAAGACTGAAACTGTACCTGCCGCTGATTTTCTTGAGCCTCTCCACAATTCGATAAAAATGTGGTCGTTCCTCCGGGTCATCATTCCAGCAATCCACCATCAGATCAATATACTCTGGCTTTATCTCAATGCAAGGAATGTTGGGGCGAAATGGCGGGTCTTCATGCATAACCACCCTGTGAATGATTTCTGTAAAAAAACTTACAGCGTTACTCTGTGTAGAGTGGTGGTCTGAGCAAATAATAGGGACCTTAAGATTCGTGACTACGAGGCTGAGATTTGACTTTGAGTTAGAATCGTACCACTGTTTTTTAGGACAAAGGAACATTTATTGGGGAGTGAGGGACGGGGCGGCTTCGTTCTGGTTTGATAACAACTTTGTATAGCACGTAATCAAAACCTGGCTCAAAACTGAGAGATTTTTAGTGTGTCGCTCTCCTGACAGAGTGGTTGCAAACGACGGAGATCCGTCAGCGGCATTCGCAAAATAAACCCACCAGCCCTGACTCGTCCTCAGTCGTCTTCGCGTAACGCGCGCGGCGGGAGCAGGGGGTGATGGGAAGGGAAAGGGAAGGACGTCTCTCTATCTTGCTTTCCTCCTTCCCATCACACCCCTGGCGCCACTAAGGAGAGACAGAGAGAGACGACTGGGGACGAGTCAGCTTCCCGCCTGCAAGCTTAATTTAACCCTTGAACCTTTGGGTTCCAGCTGACATCCGCTGAACGGCTCTGAACGAGTAGCCATCTCCTGCAAGAGTATTCCATAACTGTACACGTCAGCTTTCTGAGAAAAACCCTCTCGCTCAACCTTGGCTATATTGATATGCTCTGGTGCGGTCCACAGAAGATCTGTTCAAATTAAAGACAAAGCGCATATTTTTTTAGAAATTAGATTGGTAACACTTAACCATATTAGCGTGGTAAAGCCAGCTCAACAAAGTTAGGCCTAATTTAAGTCTTGCCCGAGGATAGACACTAAGGGTAGTCAAGTTCAGATTGTTTCCTCTCTAGTGAAGGGGCAGTTCCAAAACATTTTGGCGAGGGAATCCAACTTGTGCACCTAGATGAAACTAATACTTTCCATCAGCCTACAAGCTTTGCAGTCTTAACGCATTGGTTTCTTCTACGTTAGCCTATGTATAGCCTTCCCCTCCCCTCCGGAAAAAAATCACCGGGAGAGGGGTCAATTTCCCTATTTTTTCCAAAGGGGAAGGGGAGGGGCTGTACACATGCTTTTTTCTACCTCTACCTTTGTTGTCATGATACGTTCCAGTTACAGGTCACGCAACGTTCTACTCGTAAAGGACCTCATTGAAAGTGGTACAATGTAGGTAAACAAAAGCAAAATTGTTCCCACTCTTTTATTTTCGGGGAAGTCACCTTAACGTCTTTGTTCCTGAAAATGTACCTGTATAAACCTTCTTTGGGTTCACATTGACTTTTTCCTGTCCAGCCTTAAAGGCGTGCAAACCCCAGTCGGTGATCTTTACAACCCAGTGACTGTCAATCACACACCGAGATGACGTCAGGTTTCCATGGAACCTGACAGCGGTGTTGTGAAGGTACTTCATTCCCTAGAATGAAATAGAAACACTTCAGTCATCAACTTGAAACACGTACATCGGTTGAAAAGTGGGATTTTCATTTCATGTGCCTTTTGATACTTGATACACTTGTTTGCTAGTAGTTACCCTGATACAACATTTTAAGATTTTAACTGCTGTTAATTAACTTATGGACAGATCACTGCAATATTGAACGATAACGTCGCATTCTCGCTAAAATACAACAACTTCGTATGTATGGGTAAGTCTGACATTTCACATTGGTTTATATGAAGCGGTGGATCATGTATAAGGACTCTTGACCAACGAAAATTTAGGGGTTTAATAGTTTTCTAGATTTTCTTACAGACTATTACCAACAGCGCTAGATGCATCGAGCAATTCCAATAAAATAATTTTTGAAAATTGTGTGCTAACATCTAACATAATAGGCTTTTTTCCATGGATACTTTAGGGTACGGGTAAGCCCTAGACTCAGAGAGGGTCCCAAATTATGATAGAGAGCATAGACAAAGCTGCCAATGTGGTTATTTTTATAAAGCTCAAGGAGATTGACCGCAAAGAGAAGATAGCTCAACACCTTTTACTTTCAAGTATGAAATGCACCTGCTGCTCGTAAATGCCATGTAGCCATGCTTTATCACGGTAGTAAGAGTTATTAATTAACTTTGATTACCGCAGCTATGTCAATTGCCATTGACAGTTTGAATCCGTAATCGATTTTGTATTCATCGTTTGCCAGGACATCCTAACGAAGAAACTCTGATTGTTAGAATACAGCACAGCAGTACTTCTGATTGGTTGAAACAAATTTCTAATCAATCAGAAGCGCTACCAAATCTGGTTAGTGACGCGTTTTCAGTATGGAGTTCTGCGCTCGTTTCTCAGACGTCATTTCGTGGGGAAACCACCAGTAGAGTGGCGAAATGTCGGGTGTTTTCTTAGGCTATAACCAAACAGGTTATTTCTCCAGCCTCCTTCTCAGGTGTTTCGTTTTTTGCACAGAAGAGGAGAGCGCGAAACGCGAGTGACTGGTGACGAAGCGCAGGGGATCAAGGAAAGATGAAAAACGAAAGGCGAAGCCCGTTTTCTCCTTCCCGCCTTCCTTTGCACGCATCGAGAGAGAGACGTCTGGGTACGTGGCAGCCATTTCTCAGTTTCAAAAACCCTCGCTTTGGAAATGAGACCAAGTGCAAAATCTTTCATGTGAAAATCAATTTTATTTGAATGAGAAAAACCGACTTATTTCACGTCTAAGACTTTGCACCTACCCTTTGCACCACCATACAAACGTCTCTAAACTTCCGCGACTTTGCAAAGGTATATCTTCGTTTGTTTTCAACAAATCTCTTTCAATCTTGGCAACTTTGCTGATCTTAAGGCGTTCTCTTCTGTTGTGTTAACGGATTTTCGCTGACTGGTTCCAATCAAAAAACCGTGGAAGAGTCTATACGTTTGAAATAAAATCGAAGGGAAGAAGTGAAACACGTTACCTGCAAACTTCCTTTTTTGCAGTACGACCAAACCAGCATGATGTTGGGTGACTCGATGCAGGCTCCAATAAAGGGATTCAGGTTTTCATGTGTGATGTCTCGCACCTGTTATGGAGAAAGAAACCTCAGATACCCGAATAACTGAGCAAAATAAAGCAGTTTTCAATCAAATGAAATAAAATCAATCCAAACTCTGGCTAATTTAGTCAATTACAACGGAAGCATCCAATCCAAAACTATCCAAAACCAAAACTAATTGTTTCGCCACTTAGATGAAAACAACACTAAAAAGTAATTTTAACTTTTTTCTTGAAGAAAGACGGTGTCATATTGAGATGAATACCGATGCAACGTAAATTCATTTTCGCATATGTTTAGTCTGTTTTTCTCTAGCTTGTGAATATTCAAATAATTAATGGCACGCTCATGCAATAAGAAAAGAAAGTGAGAAAAGTTGATATCACCTGTTTGAGTTGAATAAGAACTTCTCGAGTAAGATGAACACTTCTCTTGTTTAGTCTTTTGATTGCTACAGTTCGACCCTAAAAGGACATCAGCAGGAGGAGGCTTAAGCCAAAACTGGGTTACACAAGTTATACATGTTCATGACTTCAAACGTGCTTAGTCCAGTGAATACCATCTGATCTTTAATGCGGTGGTATTATTAGCACTGAATTTTGGTAACTCAAAAAGGAAACGCAGAGAATCTGTATTGTTTTAGTAGTATTAGGTGGCCAGCATTCTAACTGCCAACTGAGATGGTTTAACTTTCCTTTAATACACTGTTGTTTTCTTACGATTAAGCTGCTTTTTTGCGGACTGATGGGCAGGAGAAATGTCTAGGAACTTCATAGACATATAAGATACGCTGTTTGACACCTATTTTGTCTGTTCTAAGAGGCCATAGCACTCTCATAACAATACCTGCCTTGTGTGACTGTGACCGTTATTTTTAGTTAGTTTTTAGAATTAAATAACTGAACTTTTTCGCCACTTTCGAACCGATAAGGTGGCCTGAGTTAACTTTCGCAAAGTTTTCTGACATTTTTACTAGGGACAGGGAAAGAAATTGGCCAATAGCTGACTGGCGCGTCCCCAGAGCGATCCCACAAACAATCGCGGGACGCATTTCCGCTCCAGATTTCTTCTTGTTTCTAAAGAGGCGAATATTAACAGACAGCTGAGAACAGAGAATCTAGGACTCCCAATTCAACTGGACTTCTCTTGGTTGCGCTTGCTTGATTAGTGGCGATTCAACTTTGTCATATCACACTCAAGGTAAATACAAGCATTCGCGCTTAAGCTCAGCATCAGTGCAGCTATATTTCTTACTTGGTAGTTTCCTATGGTTGTGAAAATTTGTTCAATGTGTCCCCCGGATGTACCGGCGCTACTCTCGTTGCTTGGAGGGCTTGCGAAAGGTTTGAGTTTCACGGATCCTCCTCGGTTTAGCTGCTCGTTGCTTTCATCCTGCTGAAATAGTTATAGCTAGTCGGTTATTCAAATTGAAAAATGCACTGCAATAGTTTTGTCATTTTACTGTTCTCAAAAATTTGACGCATTTGTGTGATAATTAAGGAGCTTAAGAAACGACGGCGACGGTAAAAACATCGCTAAAAATGATTTTGCTTTCTTTCAAACTTGTCGCCTCTTTTTGGACCCGGTCAATTCGTCAAATGTAAGCGATGTTTCCTGGAGTTGAATTCTTAAGGACTTTATCCAGGTTCAAAAAGAGAAAGAAAAACTTGTCGTCGTGTATTTATGTCATCCATAAGACGTCGCATTGGGAGGTTTCACGTCGTAATCGAACAGTGAAGCATTCAAAGAAATGTACTAAAAAGTGTGATGCACGTGCAGAGCTGTTGTTTTGCTCATAAAGCCAATTGATTTTAGACGTTCTCGTCGCTGTTGTCGTCATGGCTGCTGAAGCTCTCT